CAATGATTAAATAATTTTTAATTTTTTAATTTCTTTTCCACATTGTTCGAATATTTTCAACAAAAAATTTGTCCCAGGATTTACTCTTTCCAAACTGTACTTTATATTTTCCAAACTGTACTTTGAGCATAAATATATCGCGCATAATTCTACCTTCTAATCAACCATCGAAAAATGTTCGTGAACTTTATCGCCTCTATCGCGAAACCTTTCCGGTAGCTCCCGTTTCTCAGGCTCTGATTATCATTTTTACCACACGCACTCCTTCTGCTCTTTTGCATAGTACCCCATCGTGTTTCGTATGCGTGTGTAACAGTATCCAAACCCACTTACACCACAGCGAGACTGCTAGTCACGATGGACTATGTACCTGTCGTAATGTTTCTTTTATGGCTGTACACACGGGACGTGTACTTTATGTTTTACGTTCGTTTCTTAATGGAATCGGGGAAAATGCGCAAATTGAAGATCGGTTGAGAATAGTAAATTCAGAAGGATATTACGATAGAGATAATTGGACGATAAGTTGCTCGAAGATGTGTTAAGAGAAGGTTTATTTTAAAAATCAAAATTTTCTAAATCTTATTCCCTGAAACAGTGTAGCGTAGAATAGAAAATTCAAGGCTTAAAGGTGTCTTGAAATATCTTGTTACGATTACTGTAAACTTGGAAAAGATTATGGAGAGTATTGGAAGTGTGTGATAAATTAAAATATACTATGCAAAATTTCACAAATACGAATGTTTTCATAATCAAAATTATGTTATTCAAAATGTGAGAAAATTTTTCAAATTATAAAATAAATGTATTAAAAATGAAGCTACTCGATCCAAGCTTAACATGACCAACTTTAAAATTCCTTGTAATATTTTCAATTATTATGAAACATCGCACGAAATATCCATTTTCTAGAAAGTCATAGATTAATCGATACTAGACTCTAGTTCTTCTAGAACTGTTTCGCTTGGTGGCTACAAAAGACGAGAAAAGGTTCACTACATGTATGTAGCACATTCTAATTACGATCTTTCAGTCCGCCAACAAACGGTAGTTCGTTGCTTTATTGTAAAGGCGACCACATTATGCGAGACGTGAATCACGCGAGTAACAGTATTCGAAGCCGCAATTCTTATGCATATCGTCTTAAAAAAATTCTGACTTATATATCTAGAAAACATGATCGTTATATTATCGCTAGATAAATCAACAATTTCAAGCATGAAGAAAAGTTAAATTTTTCCTTTCTTTGAAAAAAATCTATGGAGTTATTTTTCACCGAAACCGTTTAATCTTTTTCTTTTTTTTTTTTTTTTTTTGTTTTTACTCAATGATTTTTCTCCTACAAAATATCATACGATAAAAGTCACGTTAGGCACATAGAATATTCGTGTCACGTATTAATCTTGAAGCGGTAATCGCGGAACCTTTCTCAGGGTTTAATTAGCATCTCAATGCTGGCTATGCATTAACTCGTGAACTTTGTTTCAGAAGGAAAACGTGAAAGTAACGTAATAAGCAAGGGATTCAATGAGATAGATTTCTGATATTCGATGATTTAATTTTTAAAAAATTCTTATGCAATCAAAATTGAAATGTTGAAACGATGATTAAATAATTAATTAGGAAGGAATGAAATGTTGTAAATTTCGTCGAATTAAAAATAGTTATAAATAATAAAAGTTGTAAGTGAAAATTTATCCGAGAAATATTTTTGGATTTTTAAAAATATTGGAAAACTTTAAAATTATAAGGATCGAAAGCGTAGGAGTATTCTATAATGAAAGAGACCTTACAGGTGAATACGCACCTGCAACGTTCATTCACACATGCATCTACCGTAACATACGTTCACGTTCACACACATATAATATTTACCACGGGTAGCGTATAGTAGTAACCACCTGCTAGGGTCACGCATACCGTTTCATTCTAGCTGCATTCATCGACGTATGATGCATATGAGGACAACGTACGCCAAGACGATCAAATTCACTATTGTAGACACATATATATCATTTTTATGCAAATCTTTATCTTTAACGTATTAATAATATTCTTTATCGCGAGACTAAATATCAATATTATCATAAAACTATCGATTATAAGTTTGAAATTATTTTTCCAATTAACTTTAATAAATTTTATATGTACAAACTAAATTTCCTTTTAAATTCTTAAATTTTACAAAACAATTCTTTTAGATATTAATGTACTTTCACTACTTTTCATAATTAATAAATAATAAATAATTATCCTTGACAAATTCATCCGGATTTGTAAAAAGTAAGCTAAATAAATTACAAAATAATTTTATCCTCTCTTATTTAAAGAACTTTTGCCCAATACTACCTTCTACGTCCGTGCAACCGTGTCATTATACCATGAAATCTCTTTCTACATGCCAAGTATAAACGTACACAAGACTTTCTTTGGACAACAAGTAGATCTCGTAGTCGTTAGGCGGAAAGCCTTTTGCGATTGGGCAACTGTGATGCACCTTGATAATCGTGATTAACTATGGAACGAATATCGACCAGGGAATGGAAAAAATCACGGAGGAACAACAGACCGTGAAAAACGATCGGTCGATTACATCGAATTCGTATTTAAGCAACCGAGTGTTCGCGATGAATAAAGCAACGAGAGGTTATCGACATTTGTTCTCTTACTTGCATAGTCAGGATGTACATTGAACACAATGGAACATTGGTTATCTAAGTATCGATCGTTTGACTGATTGTGCAAATGCTTTGTTCTTGGCATCTACAATAAATAATATAAATAATTGGAAATTTTTGTATCGCGTATAATGAAATCACAGTTTGATTTATATTGCATCAAATAACTCGAAAAAATTAGTTTTCGAAAAGAGTAACTTATAAAGTTAGAAGAAATTATCTTATTTCAAATATTCAAGTGTTTTGTAAGATATTATAAACGGATTATTATTTACATTTAAAAAATTTAAATTAATGTTGTTTTAATTGTTTGAAAAAAACAATTATAATTATTTGAAAAAAGATAATGTTTACATGCAATGAAACAAAGAATCGTTTGTAATTTGTATTTGACATAAAATTACGTAACATCTAACCGACCGCATAATGGCATTGAAGTCGAAGTTTCACAGAACACGAGGAAAAATAACAGATATGTCGAGAATTATAATGAGAATTACAGCTTATTCTGTCTCGTTGTTTCGAAAAACAACGTTGTGCAGTACAAGGACAATATTAACAATATTCTTGTTCTCGACTAACTTTCAAATATTGCAAAAGAAATAATTTCAATTTTCCTAAGAACAAATGCATACCACTGGAAAGTTATTTATATTAATAATTTCGAAAAAATATTTTTAAAAAGAAATTTCCTGTTTTAAGATACAATCTGTTTATTAAAGTAAAAATTTTAAATATTTGGAATCATATATTAAATTCGATAAATTTTATAATGTAAAATTGTTTTCTGCTGAATAATAATTTATTAAAACTTCATAATAAATGATTTGATATTGAAAAAAATTTGTAAAAGAAAAAATGAAAAAAGTGAAGGAATAAAGTAAAGAAAGGTGACGGAAACAACTTGGGTTATTGACCGATTTATTAGGACAACTAGTTTGTCGAATTCCAAAACTATTTTCGTGACGACTATCTATTCACCTGTGTAATCAAACATTATTATTTATTTCATTTTTAATGTAAAAATGTCATTTATATAAGTTATTATCAATCAAAAATATTTTTTTTTAAAATTACTGTAATTAGTTTAATCACACAGTATCTTTTACTAATAATCATAGATAAAACTCTTCAACTTTTATAAAATAAAGATGTCTCATTTATGAATACGTAATTAACTAGATATAATATCGAGTCATCTAATACATTTTATCGGTATATTAATTCAGTCAAGTTTACCAGGAAAAGCTTGAGGATAAAGAACAAGTCAGGGACAGGCAACATAACTGTTATCTAAGAGGAAACAGGTCGAAAGAAGGTGGGTGATGAAAGATACGAAGTATAGCAACTATAAAAACTACCTGCCGGAATTAATTGACTCGATATACGGGAACTCGTGTTCTGAATTAGGTCGAATTATACTTATATAAAAAAGAAACAAAACAACATCGTTTCAAATTGAGGGATTTCTTGCGAATAAAAGACAATAAAAAGAATCATGATTGATATAGAAGAAGATCGAGATATATTTTAATCAAAAAAACAAAGAATAAACGAAGAACTCTGAAATGGTACTACTTTCTATCGAATAAAATAAATATTAAGTAACCAGCCACGACTTTCCTTTTAATTCGTACAATACAAAGACAGCCTATGTGCAGCTGCTTATAAAAATGTCCTTGTAATACTTAAGTCAATATATAGTGTTCCAATTTAATTAATATAATCAAATTAAATATTGAAAAAACATGATTTTTTGAATATATTAAATTAGAAAAAGTTTCAATATCTATAACATTTCCCGATACATTATTTTACACGATATTATTGAGTAACTATTAAGAATCAGATTGCATGTAATTTCTACGGAAGTTATATAAGAAAAACCACAATATATATAATAATAACCGCATTAATTTGCGCAACGTTAATAATCATTTTATTTCATTATGTTTAAACAACCATGATTTGATTTCATGTTTGATAACATATTTTTTTTAATATATTAAAAATACATTTTTTAATGTATTTTTTATGAATAAAGAAATCAAAAATAAATTAAAGCTAAACTAAAGATAATAGTAATTACATACATGACATTACATATCATTTTCACACGACTTTCATCAAATTTTCATTTTTAATTTGTATTTGACGGACAATAAAATAAATCGATAATCGATATCGCAACCGTGAACTCGAAAGGCGGCGATATGACCGCGAGAAAGTCGTGGGCATGCGCAATCGATGCGTGCATCACTTCACTATGAATCAAGAAAATACGCGCGACTCGATCAAAAGAATTTCAAAAGCATGACTCACCGTCAGGATTGGTGAAATATCCCCAAGTGGGGGTCGCGGTAGCTGCCGATTGGAGGACCACGGCCAGAATACTGAGGGCTAGAGCACCGGCGGCGCCTCGTGCCGCGACGGCGCGTTTTTCGCTTCGATGTGGATCGGTTGTCGTCGTGGCGACCGCCCTTACACCTTGACGGTTGCTCGAATCGGTTGCCATTCTTCATGCCGTTTTCGTGTCTTCGTCAATCTCGTGTATCATGCAACAATCCAATATAAACACTTCCCGTCTCTTCCTTTTACTTTTTCGATTCGATTTTATTCGATTGTCATGTTCCTTCGATTCACTTTCTCTTTTCGCACCAATTTCTCACACTTTTTCATCAAAATTGATTCGAGAACTGTAACGATCTATCGATATCTGTGTATTTATATTGCCAGACTGATTGGTTAATTATTCGGCGATGAACATCTCATCGACGATGCACTTAATAATCGAATATTATACACTCCCGGTACGATGTCACGTAACACATCGAGTATGGATAGGCGCGTGCATGCACGCAATCGATAGTTCGAGGTGGGAGAAGAAAGAAGAGAAGTAGGGGGAGGTGTGTATCGGCTTAGGCGAATTCCACGTTCTGTGTCACTCTTTCTTTCTTTCTTAACCAACAGAGAGAAAACCATATACCTTTACATCGCGTGTCTTTCCCTCTCACTTCCTCCCTTTTCAACGAAAACCCTTCTCTATATACGCACCTTACCTCGTGGCTCAACCCAAGCCGAGACTCGAAACCGGTTTTTGCGATGCGCGAACCGGCGTTGGCTAAAAATAAAAGCGCCTCGGATTCTCTCTTCTTCGTTGCTTTATTCGCCTTTCGTAATTTTCTGTCTCCTCGTACGTTATACTGGAAAGAATCTTCCGGGACGTTCTTTTGACCGTTACACACGCGCTCGCACCAAGATATATCGAACATTCGATCACGACTGATCGAATCTCGCGCGGTCGATTAACAATCACATTCACCACCTGTCATCGCTATTCGTCGACATATCAAGATGGCGTACAAGGAATATTACTTCCTCAATAACTGCAAGATTTTCATTCTCATATTCTGGATACTTCTACGCTTCGAGTGTGAAACGTCACTTTCACGTCGACATCCCTTCTTCGAATTACTCGAGATCACAAGACTTCTTCAACTGTGTTTACAAATATACAAGGTACGAGAAAACAAATAATTCGCTAGGTTAGGTTCGTGCGCGCTGGAAATACGAACCGCTTGATATTTACTGAGATGCTATAGTTATCGATCGTACGAGGATACGTTCGCTTCATTTCGTGCCACGTCTCCTTCTACGCGTTTCGTAACCGTTCTGCCACTCACTGCGCTTTATTATATCTTAGTATCCACATTGAGTCTCTTGAATCTCTACTTTAGAATCATCCACTGCGTCTGTTTTTGATGTGTCAAAGTTTCAAAATATATCGTTGAATATATCGAAATTTCCCGCTTTTCTATGACGCTTTTCACTATGAGCCTTACAACTCTTCTTTATCGCCAACTTTACGTACCGTGTCACTGTGTCACGATGTATACGGACTCGCATACGTATAGACGTGTACACGCACACGCGTTAATAACAGGTTCTCGATTAAATTCGAATCACCGGCATACGGTCGCATGTGCACAGCAAACGTTATTCACAATATTTATACGAAGGAACCTGAATTTCGTCGAATTATCCTGGTGTCCGTGACCAACAGAGAAACAAAAAACTTAACGGAACGACATAAACGCGAAAGAGACCTGCGAGATGTTTGTACTTGCGTATTCTAGCCGCGCTGCATACGTACGGGATAGCAGGAGAGAGAAAGAGGGAAAATTAGGAAAGAGAGGAGAGCAAAGGAGACGAGAACAGAGAGAAACAATACGCGTACGCGAGCCTGCGCGCTGCGCAGCATACTGAGGCGACCGGCACCGTCAAGCTGACTCGAATGCTCTTCACTGTGGCTTCTCCCTCCCTTCCTCCTTCTCTCTCGCACCATTGCTCGCGGCCACTACCCAGTGCTTTCCCCTCTCTTTTTCTCAACCATTCCGTCCCTTTCTTTCGTTATTCCTCCCTCTACACTTGGATTTGCATTACTGTCGTATGCTTTCATACTGCCGCCGTATATGCCCGTTACAATTGCATTCTTGGAATGAAATGCTCTTAAAAAATATGCGTTTTTTTTTTCACGGCCAACTTGAGCGTTCAGTTGAAAGAATAAATTAACCAGATAATTCATAAGTGTTCGACGATGAATGCGATAAATGGAACGTTAATTTAATTTGCAGTTCATCAATTATTAGTTGGTTCATATTCTACGTGTTTTTTGTATTATAAATTGTAATAAATATGTAAATTATATTATATTATATTCGAGATAATATAATTTATTCAATTTAATTATTATTGTATATATTTAATTATGATTCTATTGATATTTAATTGAAAAAATGTGTAAACTCGAAATATTCAATTTAAAAATTGATCACATTTTTTGGATCTTGTTCTAATATCATGATATTTATATTTCGATTATATTATGATATTTATATTATGATGCACGAAAACGTTCTCGTAATATTAGATTTAAAAAATAAAAGCTTTATCAAAGCTTGTATATTTTTCTTTATGAACGAATATATGATCAAATGTAAGACTTACAAATAAAACAGTCGACATCAATAAATCAATTTACATATTGCTCGTTTAAAAACAAGATTGCTTTATAACATTTAATTATACATTTTATAACATTTGGAAATTTCGCAATCGTTTTTTGAAAGAATTTAGTTATTTTATCATATATTTATTTTATAAATAGATACTATAAAAAGACTTGTTTCTTCTAACAATATTTTCCTTTATTGAAACAGTTGCATTCCACGAGATAAAAGGCTTATTATTGAAGTTTCATTCTTTTTCTTCTCAGAATAAATTTGAGAAATTCCTAAGTTATTAAATAAAAAATTCTTTACATAAAAATCAGATTATTGCATAAATATATACATTGTATATATCACGAATATTTAAAAAAAAAAAATACAAGGATAACATGACGCAGGACTGAATAATCGCGGAAGTGTAACGATATCTCATATGCTTTACACACAATAAAAAGGAAACGCATTGCTATGCGTATATAATATAAAAAGTTAACGTGAGCAAAATATGATAGCATCATTATTAAATATCAGGATCATTAGTCGAGCATCACCTTAAACATGCACGACTAAATGCGTCAACCATAATCTCGGTTCTCTTTCTCTCTCTCTCTGTATGCATCTCGAGGAATTTCCGTTCGACTTTGATTAAAATTATCATATAATATCATAAGTCAATCCGGCTCGCTTAATAAAATATTCATTAACATAAAAACTTGTTAATATATTTCAATTTCTATCGGAAGCTTTTTAATTTTTATTAAATATAAAGAACCTTTACGTCAAATTTTCGTTAAAAAATACTTTTTGAAAACTTCGATATCGTGATCTTCGTTGCTTAAAGATTCTTCCTTGTGATTCGAATTATTTTTCGTATAAAAATTGTTTATATTTATATTAGAATTCGAAGATATATAATATTCCGTATATATTACGAAATAATTACTTCTATCTATTATATTCATTCTATCATATTTATATCATTCTATCAATATAGAATAATCATCATCGGTACAAAATTATCAAAAATATAATTAATATAATAAAATATAATCGAAATTGTAAAATGGAATATAGATTAAACCCAAATATCTAACGGCAAAACAGAATAAGCAATTCGATGTATTGTGATTAAATTAATTAACATTTTCTGATTAAATAACCCGTGCAATATGATTTCCTTGCATCTATTTACCATTTACGCTTGTAATAAATTAACTATAATAATAACGTTCGTTCATTAATACGGCGTGCCGGCAAAGGTGTACGGCAATATCGTATTCCTGTTGAAATTATAGTTTCCACGGGATGTTTCTGGGTAATAAACTTACAGCCCTGTAGAAGCTTTGCGGGAAACGCGTTACTTCACAATCGATCAATCGCAGACACGAATCTACAAAATGTTCAAATGCTGTTAAATTTTCTTTTTACGCTCTGAGATGAAGCATTTAAGCATCGAGTGTTCGAATCTTTCTTTTCGAAATGAAAAAATCGTCGTTAAGTTAGAATAAATAATAAACGTGTGTTCATTTACATAATTTTTGGATTATTCAAGAATAATTCTTTTCCTTTATCTTTTCCATTAATAACAACGAAACATTCGCGTAATAAATTATGAAAGATATCATTAAATATCCAGGATGATTTTGTATTTATTCAAGATCTAACTTTCTCTCCTTTCGTAAGATTATACAATTTTGTATTAACTCTCGTGTCCCCGTGTACATTTCACATTCACTCGATTCATGGACGAAGAAGAATCGAACAAGTTTCGTGTCCTCGTCACCTATTCAAACAGAAACTTTTACGTAGATTCTTCTGCTCGATTTTCTCCTTCCTGCATTTAGTTAACATAAAACGTTTTTCATTAAAGCCACAATTCGTCACGATAATTATTGCGTTTATGTGTTATAACGATCTTACATGCTTTCTCGAGCATGATAGTTAACATGTCTCGAAATTTATTCGAAATTTCTTTCTTTGAACATGGTAGTTCAATTATAAGCAAATGAAACAGTAAATGATTATAACGTGCTATTTATATCTAATTTAACTCAAGATACAGTAACGTTTCAATTAGTAATTTATGAGTTTACATTACGAATAATAAATTTTATCAATTACTTTACCTTCTTTACTTTACTTTGCCTTCTTTAGTTTATTGTATGTTCAATATCATCACGATCTACGATTGATATCGAGGATAAGATTTTTCATTGAAAGGAACGTCGTATATCTGATCACAATTTTTCTTTATTTTTCTGTATTATTTTATGGCTAACAAATAACAAATCCCATGCTTGTTTCTAGTTTCCATTTTAATCTTATCTATCAAGTATCCGTTTTGTTGAATGCAAATCGAACGATAACTTCTTCAATCTGCAATCTACATCAAAAATTCCATTTTCAATTTTCAAAGTTATATCGATGAAAGAAGGATCGATTAAAAATTTTCTTAACAAATTTCCATATATTCCACATATTCCACGCGTATCAAAAACATCTCTATATTCAAATATATATATACAAACTTAACAAAAATATTAAAATCTTCAAAGATGAAAATTTCAAGGCAACCAATATCCAACCCCATCGATTTCCACGACAAACTTTATATTTCTCATTGAAAAAAAAAAACGAGATGAGGGCGGAATACAAAATGCTTTGTCGCACTTTTTCTCGAAAAGGCAACCGAATAGATCGAGGTAACCGAGTTTCTTCAAGGTTGCTTGATCCGCCCTCTCATAATAATCTTACGCAAGCGTGGAGGGTGAAACCGTGGCCTGGTATCCAGGGGTGTTACGTGGAAGCTCTATTCCAGAATTTCAAGCGTTCAAGCTTGATTTATCGAACTTGACGGACTTTTACGGACGCTCGTTCAAAAGCGAATCAACTATCGATCCCGTGGCACGTGTTCCAGAGAAGGGATCGATGGAATAAAGGCATAATAAAGACAAATTTCTGATATTCGTGATAATCGTTGCTGCTACACGTGATGAAACGAATCCAGCAAACGGATTTGTGCAAAGGAAATTGCATTGTTATGAACAATTATCTTGATTATTGCACTTCTATTGGAACGATTCGCTTTGAAACTTTGGTTGAAACTTGGAAATTGTTTCAACAATTGACATAATTCAAAACTTTGACTCGCGTCGAAATGTCAAATTCGAAAATTAGAAAAGAATATTTAAAAGATTCTATCGATTCGAGAAATAATGATCTCTTGTGTCAATAATTCAAAAAATTGTAAATTTTGGCCATTGTTGCAGCAAACAAGCGATATGTTATTTGTATTTTTATTATTATATGCTGCAAGATATAAGAATATATATATAATATTTTCCTGTTATTATAATCAGTTGAAATTTTTGTACACATTTGACAAAATTCATAACAAATTAAATCAATATTCAAGAAGTTGATTGATCATATTCTTTTATATCTCATTTTTAATATCCTCCTCCAGCTTATTAAACTTGTAACTCATTTTTGCTAGATATATTCACTTTATCAGATTATATATTCACTTTATCACTTTTTATTTGCCTTTTATTTATTCTGTATTCCATGTATAATTAGATGTATACATTACTGGGCGTAATTACATCAATCTTGCGGAGGATTGTAAATATTTTAACTCTTTGTACATTCCACGGATCGGTATGTATGTATGTTATCGGGCAATTATCTTTTTTATCTAATAAAAGAAACGAAGATAAGAAAAAAAAGAAGTTAGTTAACCATGTTCCATTACCATTCCATTAGAACTTCCTGCGATCGTATTCATTGGAATTACACTGAAACTACGACCTTCCTGTTTTCCAGGATATATACACACGACTTCTCCTCGTACTTCTAGTTAGCTTTTCGACGGTTGGAGGTTGAGGCATACTATAATCTCGTGGCAAATTTCGAGGAAATTAAAGATCCGACGGTGATACAAAAGTCGCAACAACGAGGAATGTTATTACAAAGGGCTATATAAACCACTTTGATTTGTTATCGGATCAACGAATTCGAAACATAAAGAATTATAATCCATGAATTAAAGGGAAATATCAGTGGGCACAAAGGAACGTAATTAAAGTGTGCTTGTGATTAAAAGTATGGCCAAGTTTTGATTCGAAAAGTTTTACGTTGTAAATCATTGAAAATTCTTCTTTGAAATAATTAGCTCGCACGTTTTAATCATTTTAAACAGGCAAAGTTTCATGAGTTTAGAGAGTTTATAGTTTATCACGTATTGATCGATAAATATGCGTGTCGATGTCAAGGTTGGCTATATTTTCTTGTTAGTTTGAATCAACATTTACGATAAAAATAGGAATGGCAATATCTTGATATCTATTTGGTTTTCTTTTTTTTTTATCATTATTCAATTTTTAATTGAAATTTTTCACATACAAATTTTTCTGAAATTGTATTGGAAAATAGAAGATGTAAGAGATCCGTTTAATTTTCATTCAGAGAACGTTGTATTATAATAATATCTTTATTGAAGAATTATAATATTCTTTTGAATTTCATCCTTTTTGTTTGAAATTTGCTATTATACGCACATAAATTCTTATTGTTGGAATAATCATAAATTATTTTTATATAAAAGGAATGTATGTAAGTTATTATCCCTTTATCTTAACTTGTACAAGAGAAACCTTTGATCTTTCACTTTGAGAAGAAACATCAAAAAAAAATAGGAAATCGAACTATGGTTCGTTGAACTCGATCGACGTAGAAAACGTGATCCATAGATTGTTCCTTGTTGTGTCGATGTCATCGAACTTCATGGTAGTGATTCTGACCTCGCTTTCACTGGAGAACATTTTGCAATGGACCAAGAAATACTTTTCTTTTCTTCCAAATTACAAATTGTTTTTCTATATAAATTCTTTCTTTCAATCTTCTTTTTTTTATTTTTTAATAATAAAAATAACTTTTCAAGCAACAATATTAATTTGTAATTTACGATTTTTATATTATTCATTATAGTTATTTTTGAATGTGCTTCCAGGAAACACTGGATAAATGACATCATTAATCAAACGAGGCACATGACGATACAGATGGTTCATTTTATCTATTTAATCACAATAACACTTACTTCTTCGTTTTTTTTCTTTTTTTTCAAATTGAAATTTGATTATAATACAGCGAGAGACAGAATAAAGATTTATATTAAGATTTTGTGACTCTGGACAACATTCTATTTTTCCTTAACTAGATTAATACTAACCGGTCCAATTAGAAGAGATGACACGACCTGGAAAACCAATTGACCCAAGTCCAATAAAACGTTGACACGTGCGTGACGAAAAGTGTGACATGTCCCGTCAAAAGTATCCATCAATTACGTAATTGGTAACACAAATATTCAGGTGATCCTCGTTTTCACCCATCAATTCTAAGTATATCATTTTAAATTAATTAAAAAAATTTACACTTTGAATTCATAAACATTCTTAAATCAATATTGATGATACGTTCGGCACACTTCAATCGGATAAAATAACGCTCGATATTGTCAGATGTGGATACAATCATCAAAAAACATTTGCATCAAAATCAAGAATTTCCCTTTATCTTCTTTCCTTTATCTTTATCATCTCTAAAAAAAAAAAAAAGAAAAACAAATTTAAACAAAATTCCTTTCCCAAAGAAGATTGAATCCATCAGAATTGCAATGCAACCAGAAATTCTTAATTTCCTCCTCCTTTCGTTCCACTGAATGAATGAAAATTGATTTCTCGTGTCCTAAGAAGAAGAAGATCTTTATTTCCTTGGTGAGAATCTTCTTGAAACTCGTTTCATCCAAAAAAAAAAAAAAAAAAAAAA